TCTTATTTAAGTAATAATCCTATAGATAGGGTCTAAACTACCTAGGCGCCGATAGTAAACTATCTAACCTTAAATCCTATTCCTTATTTCCCTAGGATATTTATTATTAAGGTCGCTTAACCCTTAGTTTAGCTTTTCCTTATACTAGATAGTAGGACCTACTAGGTTATATCGAGGGTTATATCGTTAAAGTAGTTAAGCTAGTCTTTCTTAATTATAAAGCGGGCTACGCCGGAGTCTATATATACGTTTAATAGCTAGTCTAGGCCTTTAGTTTTAAAGATAGATATCTAAGCGTACGTAAACTAGGACGGCTTCGATAGATTTAATATTTCGGTTTATAGCGCCGCTCTTATAGTTAGCTAGTTCCTTAGTATTCTAGGTAAATAGCTCGGTCCTATAGGTTCTAGTTCTATTATATCGGGAATAAATAGAATCTTATCTTTTACTTCTTTAGTTTCTTCTCCTACGTTAGCGGTAGTATTACTATCTTCTAGCCCTTTATCCTAGGTAAATAGGATCTAGTATTATATTTCCTAGGAAAGATAGATCTTACCCTAGTCGTTAGTTAGTGCCGCTTAAAGCTAATAGGCGAGGTTAATAACGATTAGGTTTTCCTAAGAGCCCTCCTTTAGTTTCGAATCCTAAGGCTATAGTCTAGTTTAGGGACTAGTTAACTAGTTTAGTACTAGGCCCTTATCTATCTAGCGTAGATTATTCTATCCTAACGTAGTTATTATATTTCCTTTCTATTAAAATTATCCTCGTTCCTAGGGTTTCTAGCTAGTTAGTTTAGCTATAGATAGGGTAGAGTTTACTATAGTCTTATTCTTAGTTTCGCGTAACCCGTCTTATACGCGTCCTTTTACTACGTTACTTATCTTCCCCTATAACCTAACCGTTAGCTTAGTTTCTAACTATAAGATAAGTTACTTATAGTTATTAATCTAGGTATCGAATAATTCTAGACTAATAGGTCGGCGGAATAATTCTCGTAGTAATACGTCTAGTTATTAATAGACTAGTATAGTAAGGTGCTCTTCTAAGTATAGTACTACCTTTGCTTTTTAGCGGAGCTTTAATATCTATTTATAAAAGTTAGCTCCGTTTATAATATCTAAGGTAATAAATCGTTCTATTTATAACGATCTTAAAGCTACTTCCGGCTAAATAGTAAAGCGTTTTTATAGTTTAGTATACTAGGCGGTATATCCTTAGTCTAGGGTATAAAGTATAGCTTAGTTAGACTCGCTAAGATCGCTAGAATACTATTCGATAGCGGTTCCGCGGAGTAAGCTAAGGATTAGTATTACTAGTTTATTAGCGTATTCCGGTCCGCGGATAGCTACCTATTTTAGGGAATTAATAAATCGATCGATGCTTTTATATATAATCGTTTTCTTAGTTTCTTTAAGGACGTTAAACGTTATATCGAAGGGGCTAGTAAGGTTAAACTTCCCTATATCTTTTAGTTTAATATATACTATAGGTACTTAAGGAGGGTTTATAGTAGTATTATCCTTAGTTTCTCTTACTATAGCTTTTACTAGTAGTCTTATAAGAGCTTCTTCTATAATTAGACTTACTAGCTAGTTCGCTAAGGTTATTATCGCGAACGTACCGCTAAGGGTAGTATTATTTAGAGGTTCTTCCTTATTTTATTTATTATAGTTTAGCGAGCTTCTTAGCGAACTTCTAAGGCTTTATCCTTTTAATAGAGGTAGTTAGGGCGGGGCAGGGGAAGCTATACTATACCGATTTCTATACGGCTCCGTTACTTATAGCTAATATTACCTTATTACTAGAACGTATTCTAGGTTATTAATTCGTTCCTATAGGCTTTAACGATTAAATAGGTAGGCTAGTAAGTCGTATTATAGAAGTTCCGCTCTTAATTCCTCCGGGCGTCGTTCCTACCGCTAAGGTAGGCGATCTAGCTATCTTTTATTTCCGTAGGCACTTAATAGGAAATATCCTAGAAATAAGTATCTTTCTAACCGCTAATAGAAGCTTTATAATACTTAAGCTTTAATACGTCGAAGTTCTACCTTTATCTAGAGTTCCCTAAGTATTTCTTTTATAAAAAGAGATTAGGAAGCTAGTATTTATTAGTACGCGAGTAGGAGCTTTCTTCCTAAGAAGATATTAGGGTTTATAAGTTAAGGTTAACTTATTCCTTTCCCTATTTTTTATCTTCTATTTTATTAGATATAGACTTTAAGAGAATAGATATTTAAGGGAATTAGAATTACTACTATTTATTATATACTAGTCCCTCGGTATAGGGCTAGTATATTAACCTTACCGTCTACCTAGATCCGGTATAGGTCTAACGGGTAATTAAACGGACTAGCTACTATATATAATTAAACGTATTATATAGACTAGCTATTATACGTTATTACGCGCGTTAAATATAGACTAGCTACCGGTCTTATAAGTTAAAGTAAGAGTAGTAATAACTATCTATATTCTTCTCTACCCGCTTAAGATCTAGCGGGTTCTTTATCCTTTATATATACTATAGCGAGCGTAAGACCTTACTTAGGGCTTTAACTAAGTAATATCTTAACCTTATAATCGTGCGATAGTAGTATAGTATATTAGCGGTATTTCCCGGTATTTTCCCTAGGTAAGCATAGGTATTTCTCTATAATTTCCCTGCTATATTCTTATAGTAACTTCTTAGGGAAATATCGGTATAGTCCCTAAGGAACTATTATTACTTAGGAAATTATAGTATATTCCCCGTGCAATATATCCCTAGGGGAAATCTCCGTAAAATATCCGTATAATCCGCTTAGTTATCGTTTCCGGGAATTCTAGGTAATTTCCTAGAGTTTACCCGGTAGCTTCTAGGTTCCTTCTTCTACGGGGAGCCTTAGGGAGTTAGGGGTAACTTCCTTAGGGGAAGTAGATATCGTTCTAGGTACCTAGATTATCGACTATAGGGTGTCCCGTAATACTTAGCCTAGACCTTAGTCTAGGCCTATATAAAGTAAAAGCCCTTATAGGTAGGGCGGTAATCTAATTACTAGATAACTAGTTAGCTAGCCCTAGGACCTATAATACTAACCTTAGTAAACTACCTTACCTTAGCTATCGTTTACGGGGTCTTACTTAGTAAAGGTAAGGGATAGTAGTCTTTATTTATTATATTATTTAAACCTTTATAATCTATATAAAAGCGGATGCCTCCGCTAAGCTTTTTTACTATAAGGACTAGTACCGCGGCTAGCGAGCTACTAACTTTAATAAATCCCTTATCTAGTAGTTTTATAAGAGTCTTCTATAGTACTAATAGCTCCTTATAGGATATACTATAAAGCGGTCCCTAGGGTAGGGGCTTTTCTCTACTATATTTATCTTTTAGCACTTCGATCTTTAGATCTATACCTAGCCGATAAGGGGGTAGCTAGTTAGCTAGTTACTATAGGAAAGCTTAAGACTACTTATAGTATTACGGTAGTAGTTTCTTTATTATATTAGTCTTCGGTTTCGGTCTTAGGGCCTTATTAATATCCGCTATTATAACTAAGTAAACTTTAATACCGCTTTTACGTTTATTACGGCGTGCTTCTACTAAAAAGGTTACGGCTATAATACTTAAGACGTCTAACTAAGGAGGCTAGTAACGTCGTCGGTCTTATACTTATACTCTATTAGGCCTGATCTTAAGATATCCTTCCTTCGCTTAGATATAAATATCCTAGTCTTCTATTTATTATTTACCTAGGATTATATCCTAGTTAAGGTCGTCGATAATATATATAAAAGTACGATATTACTAATATCTATCGAGGTTAATTAATATATATATAATCTTATCGATTTTAATCTCTTTACCGTCTCCTACTATATTCTCTAAGATACGCGGCTAAATATATATATATAGTAACTAGAGAGTATAAAATATACGCTTACTAACTATACTATAGTAAAGGTAGCTATAATTAATAAGAGATAGTATAAAGTCTATACCGTTTACCCTAACGTCTACTATAAATAGTTCTCTATCTATTTTTGCCTTTCCGCTCGTATCCTATTCTCTTATAGCCGCCGCGTATCCCTAGTCTAAATCTTTATCGTTATTAAAAGAAGCATCGTCTTTAGCGATCTCGGCTTTAGTGATCGCAGGTCGTGACGGGGCCACGGCATTAACCTGGGTGCGTCGGGTTGTGTTTGCGGGCCGGATAGGCGCAGCCAATAGGCAGCGCTCGATTCTGCAGTTATCTCTTCCGCAACGAAGGCAACGCTCTTCACGGTAACGGGCGTCCATCTCGGCCTGGTCGACCCACTTGGCACGCTTTCCTAACAACGCTTGGTCCTCCGGTCGCTCGTTATCCTCAATACCCCTTGGTGTGTGTGGGATCTGACTGCATTAACCCCACGGCGTTATGGTGCGGACGCCATGATCCACGATGCGTGTGACAAACAATATACGGAGTATGGACAGTAGTGGATGCACTGTCCAGTAAGCCTTGAGTAAAAGGGAGCATGCCTGTTGATCAGCACTATTTCATCACACAGCCTTTCAAGGTACTGCAGCTCAGTCTGGGCAGCCATTGGTTAGTCCAGGCTATTTTCTGGCCATGCAGCTGCGTCTTTGCACATCGCTTCGCCAATCAGTCATAGCCCATAGGCATCCGCATACCTGGTTGCAAGGAAAATGGGTGGGAGGCAGCCACGGCCTCCGAAATAGGTCGGATCAAAAAGAAAAAGAAATGTAGATGCGTCTACCCCTCTATCGCCCCGTGCGATTGCTTGCTTTCGGGACACGAGGTTCTCGTTGACAAGGCCTAGCTAGGCCTAAAGGTCATGCAAAAAGGGTCGCAGCGATGTGAGCTTGCCATGTGTGCGAGCGAGTCTGCCTATCCGCAACACCACATGATCTGCCACCCTAGGGCTTTTGTACGATGAGTACACAAATACCAGGCAATACACTCACTGCACTTGGCGGCGGACCCTTTACATCGCATATATAATAGCAAGTAGTTACTATGGACGAGGAACTACCAGTGACTTCGGGGTACACCGCTTTGTGCTTGGTTCGCAATTCGCACCCCGGCTGCGTTAGTCAACAGGCAGTGCCCCCTTGTATCTATGAATGTGACTGCGGCAAGGCAGTCATGAAGCAGGGGATTCAGCTCACCTAGATATGTACTTTGTATGTCGATATAAAGTACTCCGCACAGGTGAGTTATTATTTTTAGATAGATCACGCGTACGCATTCTGCGCAAGTATCAGGAACTCTCAGCTCGACCGTCTATGCATTGCCATGGCGCGGCGTGTATGTCTTCGAGCTCTATACGACAAGCCTTCACATCGTGGGACTTACGATCAAGTGCTATCTCGTCGAGGCAGCGTTCGGCGCACAAGTACGAACAGGGATGTCAGCCAATGATACGCCAAGCTGCTAGTAGTCCTTTATTTGACTGGCAACTATCACTATGATAGGTGTCTCGACAATGCTCGCTATTATAAGGAGCTGCAATTGTCTGCAGGTTTTGATGATGACGGCCCCTGAATTCGTATCTGACATGTAGTCACATCCTATAGGGCTCGTCACTTGGATGCAGCCTTCAAAGGGATGCGTAATACGAATGCAACGTAGCATTTTTGAGTGTCTAGCTGTGATCAGATGCTACATACGAAGTATGTATTCGTACAAAGTACATACTCCGTAACGGAAGCATAAAAAGCCAAGACACACTAGCAATCACCCGCCCGAGCTCAGCCCGCAGAGCCGCATGTCTCGCCGGGCAAATAGTATCCGTAAGTGTTGCCTAAACAACAAGTACTGAACGAGCAGGCGCGCGGCATTGCACATGTCTTTTTGCGTCATTTTGTCCCTACCCAGGTATAGTTGTAGTACGAGGTAGTTCTTCACGCGCCGCCCTTTATGCTGCAAAAGAGAGCCAGGCTACTGCCCGCGTTCCTGGACAAACCATTCCTCGAAAGTGTTAAAAGCTACTCGTGCAGGAGGTCAAAATTACCCGCTGTTTATGCCACAGCTCTTTACGAGCCTGTCCTTAAAGGTGTCGCGGCAACATTGCTACCAGGTCCGACAAGTACACATATATACTCTCCTTCGGCACCGGACGTTCTTTTGCAGCGCCGAGGCCGGGGGTCCTCGACTAGTAGGCCAGCTCCTCAGTAGTACCGCCGCCATGTCTTTCTGGAGACCGGGGGCGGCCCAACGAGCGAGTGGCTTCTCGCTCGACCCTCCGGGTCTTCATTGGAGGCCGCCGTTGGGCTCTTTCTATGTAGTTTCCGGTCCTCTTAAGACCGCAGCTCCCGCTGCTCAAGCGCGTCGCGTTAGCCAACGTCTCCCAGCGCCTTTCTTTCCATTGAAGACTATCTCTCGCTTGGCTTTCCAGATCCAGGCTTGTCTACTTCACGATGCGACAAAGCTCCATTTTTCTTCTATCCTTGGCCATATCTCTGAGCTCGGGCTCCCCATGGTCAGGGACGCTGCCCCGAGAGACCGACGTGATATCCCAGCAGCAGTTACAGATAGATCTCTCACCAAGCACGACATCTCCGCCGGTGTCGTTGGGTAACTCCGGTCATGTGGAGCTCAGGCGACGCCAAGGAACCCTAGGTTCGGAAACTTGCGGTTTCGAGGAGGGTGTCACAAGTGAGTGCCACCTCCAAATGAGAGATTCCAGCGCCGGGAAAGTGCTTTCAAGATGAGCGCCGCCTTAACTAAGCAATCAAAGCTCCATTAACATGTAGCCCGGGGAGGGCATGTGCCTCATCTGGCGACTATATCGGATGCGGTGCTACTTTTTATACAGCCTGCACCCAATCAGACGTGTGCACGGCGGACTCGCTCGAGTCCACCACACGTTGCTGTGGGTAAGCTCTCGCCTTCTCCTCGTTGAGTCAATGAGCACTACCATCCTCTAACCATATCACAGTGGCGAGTTGTCATTGTGCCATACCTGGCTCAGGACAGATGGCTCTCCGCCGACGAAAACCCTCACACTGATTGGCTGCTCCAGAACCTCACAAACCTCGGACTCAAGCACCTCACAAACCTCGGACTCAGGCATCTCCACTCCTAGGCCCACACGGTCTTCTACGACTTCCCTCTCCACGACTTCAAGCACGACACAGACCCCCGCGCCGACCGACGATGGAAATGGAAGCGGCAGCGGGGCCAACGTCGGAGCCATCGTCGGAGGAGCCTTGGGGGGGCTCGCTGCTCTCGCCGCCGTGGGCGTGGCGGCCTGGCTGCTTCTTCGCCGCCGCAAGAACCCAACCCCCGAGATCCCCGTGCTTCAGGTTACACAACGGAATCCTAGCACCTACTCCATGGTCCCGCAGAGCTACGATTCGCAAATAAATGTCAATAGTCAGCACGTCAGGTAGACACGATCAGATAAATGATTCATGAGTGCCCTCAGCTTCTGTTCTGCCGCCAAGTTAGGACAGGTCTCCAAGGGATGAGGGTCGAGTTCTCGTCAGGGGGAAGGCTCCGCTTGTGGAGTCCCCTCTCGGGCTGCCTGCTAAACGCTTCAATGGTAGCTGAGGGATGAGACTGCTTCCTTCCTCGGTTGTGGACGGAGCTTCCAGTTGGCTCTTGCAGGGTTTCATCCACGTAGTTTCGCTCAGCTTCGGGATTGGGAGGCTATTACTGTCTGGCCCAGCAAGGAATATCGTATCGGATGGTTCCGGCCGGTACTAAGGGGACGTTGACTGTCCAATTAGTCAGGACTTAGGAGCGCCTGTTTTTCGTTGCTGTTGATTTGCGCTTTGTTGTGCTGGGATGTAGATCTACAAACATAGCATACCGTTGCAGCTTATCGGATGCTTCGATCTCGGGACGACCAAGCAGCTTGGTACTCCGCATGGCAAGAGGGTTTTTTTTTACGTAAAGTCCTCGTCTCTAGCGACTGCTGCCATGCTTGTCGTACAGGTGGAGTCCATGCTTCAACTTCCAAGCGGGCCCTTGACCTCGAGAGACATCGACGCAGATGACGAAATGTGTCACCTCGCAGCGGCAACACCAGAAGGGCCGCGGCCCTCCTGCATGTTCCAGAACTATTTCACGAAAGTACTTCGTATCCAGACACTCAGCGCGGACATGTCGAAGTTGAAAAAGATAGCTGGGCGCACAAAACAGCCCGACGTGATTGATTCTCGACACTCGTCCCTATGCGAGACAGCGCGGCGCCTAACGACTCAGCTTTGTGAGAAAGAAACCTATTGGATGGACGCCGAGGCAGATCGCCAGGGTGTCTGCAGGGGGGGCTGGGACGCCATCGAGATCGACACCCCCGGGGGTGCTCAAAGCTCCAGCCCCTCTCGTCGTCACGCCGGCGGAGACGACACGGCATGAGACGGCAGTGCCCTGTGGCTGCCGCATCCTCAAGGAGTCAGAGGACGAGTCCAGGGCGGTGTTCCGGTCTACTAGAAGCGAGTCATGGATACCAGCGGTAAAAGTATTGCCGTTGGAGGCGTGCTGTATGTACAACAGGCGAAGCGGGACCTCCTCTTAATCCACCAAACCGCTATGGAAGCCATTCACTCCTTCGCACATCAACTGATGTCCCCTATTCGTACTCGTCTCCGGCTTCAAGTCCGGCCTCGTCCCAGCTTACGCTAATAGGCTGGTGTTTACCGGAGAACCTCTCGTTGCCAAGCCACAGCTCGAAGCGGATGTCCGCCGGCGCGACGATGATGTGAACGTCTAGCTGGCAGATGTAAAATCTGGAGCTTCGACGGGAAAATAGGCTATGCTTCTTCTTGAGCACGAGCTGGTGCTGCTTAACGCCATCGAGGTTGCTCTTGATGTGGCAGAGATTGTGAACGCCGCCTATCTGTGTCGTCAGCCATGGACGCAGCAGCAGCGCTCTGCTCGATACATGGGAAGAATGCGTGGCGAGCTTCCCAGACAGCACGCACCTTGCTTCATACTGTGCGGGAGAGACCACTTGTCGTTGTGGGAAATAACTATGTCTGCGTCCCAGGACCTCTCCAGGTCCTGCTCGGCGAGGCGAATCTCGAATGTCTTGACGAGCGGGTTGCTTGGGTTGATGCTTTCGCCCTAGGCCAGGTCAGCATAGTTACCGGATGGGTGTCGAAGACCGTTCGTGCCAAACCTTTCGTATCACCCACTGGATCTGGTTAACGGCCCAGCGCTTGTTGAACTCATCTTTTACGACTTCCTCGTGAGGGTGGCTAGCGCGCGTATATGGAACCTGGACGACGACGCCGTAGCTTGCGCGAGCGACCCGCGTTGCGAGCACCGAGAGTTGGCCCGTTTCGGGCCTTCTTTGCTGGTCGAGGAGCAGGCCGCGGACGACGACGAGCTGCGGGTCCTGGCATGGAATCACGTCGGCCCGAGGCGCGTTGGGGTACGGAAAGCTGATGAGATGCTGCTGGATCCTGTCGCGGACGTAAGCGGAGCTCCCGAGTCCGCCCGACAGCATGACAAACTCCTGTCGAGTCCGGCCTTAGCTTATGACGAGTTTGCCGAGACTGGGAGCGAAGCTGAGGCCTCTTGGGTCCTTGACGTACCACCTCGTCTCGACGGTCGTTTCGCGAAAGCCAGTCGAGCTGCAACTTGATCTGCCTCTTGATGCCATCGACTTGGGCGTCGAAGAGGGACTGTATCTGTTCCCTGCATAGATGTCAGCCACGCACGACTCATACGAGGAGGGGAGTGAGGACGGGGGCGCGGCTACCTGGTGACGAGAAAGCGGCCCCTTTCGATGCCCAGGTCTTGGTGGCTAAAGTCGTGGGAGACGCCTTCCATGGGCATCTTCCAAACGGGCTGCATGTAGACGCTCTCGCCGAACTTATGCTTGAGGTTGATGAAGTGGTGGCTCCTAGCCATGCGGACGGCAACGTCGGCCGGCAGTGTGCGTTCAACGTCGGGCCAGGCGGCCAGGCGCTGGGAAACGAGGCGGATAAAGGCGTCGTCGATCAAGGTCGAGCCGATGCCGTCGCCCCTGACGGCCGCCACCTGCTCCATCCGCGGCACGGCAGCGTTGGTAGACATGACGCGCATCAGAGCCAGGTCCGTGGTGCCGCCGCCGGCATCGATGGTCAAGAACAGGCTGCCGGGGGTAAAGTGGACGGCGGCTGTCTTGAGCGTTGTCACGGCGGCAGCCTCGGCCTCGGTGAGGTCGACCCGGGCCTCGTGCCGGGGCCCGCCGGGGCCGAAACCGGCCTCGCGGACGATTTCCTTGAAGAGGTTGATGGTCCTCATGCGCGTCCACGTCGTCGGCACGCTGAAGAGGAAGAGGACGGTCAGGTGGGCCCAGCTGCCGCTCGGCGCTCGGCGCAGTCCCATCTGCCGCTCGATCGTCTCCTTAACGTGTCCGTACACCTTATGCAAGTAGTGAGTGGTGCAACGCCTGGCGTCGGCGGCGCTGATGGGCGCCTTGGCCGGAGCCTGGTTCTGGGCAGCAGGCCCGGTCGCGTCGTCGTCGAGGTGGAGCTTGAACAGGCTACGACGCGTCCTGCCGGCATCCCGGTCGCCGCCGCCACCATCGTCGTCGCACAGGAAGCCCCACGACGTCGGGTTGTTATCGTCGTCGGCGTCGTAGACGAGCGTCGAGGGGACCTTGCGTTGGCCGCGGTCGCCGCTGCCGGGCCAGTCGTTGATGACCTGAATTGGCTTTCGTCCCGCTCTCCAGGCCACGCCTCAAGTGTCCTGTTAGCCTTGTGCGGTCGGGGTCGGGCGCCTGATGTCATCGCGGAGTGGGCTAGGGGGGGGAAGGTAGAGAATACCGGTGTAGGTCGTGCCCAGGTCGACCGAGACAGTCACATCTGGGTTCTCCGTCTCGGACATGGTGAGCCTTGAACCGGTGTCCGAGTCGTCGCCATCTGGCGTGAGGAGCTGCATGACTGCCATGGGCTGTCAATAGGGCGAGTTGCCTCAGTAGGTCCGCCAAATTGACAAGAGATGCGATACTTCTTTGAGCATACGTGGGTGGGAAGGCGTCCACGTGCATCCATCTCATGGATACTCCGTACAGCCCCCCAAATGGCGTGCCCACGTCTTCTTCCCAAGTACATACACCTCTCATCCCTAGGCAGTACTTCGTATGTATGTACATACGACGCATCAAGTACACAGTTGTGCCACACCCCGGCAGCCTTGCAAATAATCATGTCCAGCACGGGAAAGGACCCTTGCCTCCTGACGGATGGCCCCGTCTAGTGTACAGTTAGCGTCCGCTCGTTTCCCTCGCTGCCGGAGAAAAATAGAGACACCCCCCGTGGAGCTTTGGGCAAGGAGTTTCAACTAGTATTACATCGTTGGCCCAGGACAAGGAGCAAAACCAACGACGGCAGGCAGGGCACCTAGACTTTTGCGTGCTTCGCCGGCCCCAATCCACCTCTGCGGAACCGTGATTTGATACATGCACAGCTCGGGAGGGCCACTTCGTCGACAGGGTCAGCCTCACCTACCTGAAAACGCCCTTGATGGGCCTGCGCTGGCTTGGCCAACTATCTAGTCGCCGCGTACTCTGTACAGAGACAAGAGTGTATAAAGCCCGCGTGCCATCACAGAGCCCACTCTGCCGCCGTTTTGCCCTCACCGCTCCTTGGGACGTGGCTTCTCTCGAAACAGCCAAAAGGGGCGCCTTGGAAGCCCACTCGCAGCCATGCCCTTCCCATTCACTGAGCCGCAACCGCCAGCTGGTGTTGTAATAGATCTGGTTTTGGACCCCGCGGGAGGCAGCACGGCTACAAGATCATCAACAAAGGCGCAGAGCACCGCGGCAAATCCAACGCGAGCACAGGTACCTCAGAATAGCCCGAAACCCGCCTCTTCTTGGCCATGGACCTCCTCCAGCGACACGGCGACCATACCGCCATTGTCGACACAGCCAGCGGCAACGCCGTCCAGGCCGTCCTCGCCATCGCCCTTCCCTGCCGCTCCTGTCGCGGGAATCGCCGTCGGCTGTGCCTTGGCAGGCCTTTTTCTCGGCCTCGTCGCTGCCTGCATCTTCCTACGGCGCAAGCTTGGAAAGAGGGCGCGGCCGAGGACGGCTATCGGCCCCTTGGCGCCCAAGACGGCCGACACCGGCGACGGCGATATTGAGCTTGACCAGTTCTTCCTCGAGGCAACGCCCGACGAGGAAATCTCACTCGAAATGCAGGCGCTCGGGGAGCTCATTCGCCAGCACGTTGAGACCCATTATCAGCGAGGCCCAGTCGCCGCCGACGCGAACATTCTTTCGCAATCTCTCGTCCACGTCGGCATTTCCAAAGGACGCTCTCTAGACGCTCAAGAGGTGGCCGCATTGTGTCTCGATCCTAGGACGCGACAAGACGCCCTGCAACATGTCCTCCTGCGCGTCATATTTGCTAGCCTCGACTTTCATTCAAGGAGCGAAATGTCCTTGCTCCCCATCTCGGTCGCTACATTTTTGAACGAGGTGCCATTGCCTAACAACGAGCCGGTGGGCGGCACACCAGGTAGACGGCAGCGGCCGGGCCAGACTGAGCAACATCAAAGCAACTCATCATCTCTGGCTCTTCGCCAATGGCGCAGGCTCTCCGCCTTTCTCCTGCACCCAGACCGAGACCAGCGCACGCCTCTGCCTGCCGACAACGCCACGCTCGTCTCCAAGGCCCGGGCACTGGCCGCTATGCTGAACACTGTCCTTGGCCTCTTCACTGGTCTGGATCCGAATAGTAGACAGGAGCAGACAAGGCATCTCGAGGCCGTCGTCATGGAATGTGCAAAACTTGGCTACGTGCTCTTCTCTCACCCAAGCGACTGGAGATTTATTACCGAGGATCCCGGGGAGAAGGGCGGCATCGTTGTCGAGGCCGGGCTGATGAAGTTGAGCAATCGGGATGGTGTGCCGTATTCCCCTCCGCGGAGAGTAGTCCGCCCTGTTGTTCGTCGAGTATCTATCTGACCTTCTTGCGACACCGAAGACAAGCACCTGCCTGGCTATTGTTAAGGGGAGAGCCCCCGGATTCTTCGTAGAAAGCAGATATAAGGGATATAACCTCTAGTCATACACAGGCTATGCCATCTGACTGAGGATATACGAAGTAATCCTTCCTTTCCAAAGTACATGTAGGCGCCCCCGTTCGTCGACAGGTGACTCTAGAGGCGCACCCTTTGATGCGGACCCCCCATATAGGAATACACCTTATGATGTGACCGTGGACCCCTCTTAGGCGACAACCACACACACTCGCAGCTCAGCCGCCGGGACGTTCTGTGCGTTTCTTTTTTTGGGGGTCTGGTATCGGTCGTGTGACGCCGAGTACCGCTGCTGCCTGCCTGCACAGCCCTCAAGCAAGCTCCTTTTGCTGTCACCAGCTTGGCCAAGAGTCCAGTGCGCTCGAATCGCTCGAATCGAATGGAGGCCTCCTCGTATAGGTATGTACCGAGTGGTGGCAAGTATGAAACGCACCACAGCAAGTATACCCTCTTACCAGGTTGATAGTTGCTTTCTCCCGGATGTGGGTGGGCGAGGACACGAACAAGGGGTCGCAATGGCCCTTTTGTTCTGACACTGCTTCTCATCGTTCGTGCTATTCCCTCTCGCTCCTGCGGCTGATTGCTGGCTCGCGCAGAGTGCTGTGCCTTGCTATGCAGCTGTACTTTGCAAAGAGTGGTCCTTACTGTACTCTCCAGCTCCTGAACGTGAGCTTGTTGGCTCGCCGTCTTGTCCCGCAACCGGCGCCGGCTGCGGCCTCGATAAACCCCATCCAAGCTGCAACATAGACTTCCCTCGGCCGGCCGAACCATCTCCGTCATCGAATCTGCCGAAATAGCGACAGCCTGACACGGCGGCAACCCAGTCCTCTCGTCTCCCTAACCTCCGACGCCGAATTTGGGCTCGTCGGAGCACGAACACCATCCCGGCCCAGCAATGCGCCTCATCAACGTGGAGACGATGAGGCTGGAGGATTTTATTGACGAGGAGAGCCCACCGTACGCCATACTGTCGCACACGTGGGGTGAGGACCAAGAGGAGGTGTCCTTTGTCGACATGCAGAATGTAGCAATCCAGAAACCCGGCAGAGGCTACATCAAGGTCCAAGGGCTCTGTGAACAGGCCAAGAAGGACGACCTTGGCTACGCTTGGATTGATACCTGCTGCATCGACAAAAGCAGCTCTCGGGAACTTGAAGAGGCCATCAACAACATGTTTCAATGGTACGAGAAGGCCTCTGTTTGCTATGCCTACCTTTCGGATGTCCCGACCGGGGACGATACCTGCGCCAATGCATCGAAATTTTCCTCTAGCCGCTGGTTTAGGCGAGGATGGACCCTCCAGGAGCTCCTGGCCCCGAAGAAGCTGACATTCTATGACCAAAGGTGGACTATCCTGGGAACCAAATTGACCTTGTCGAAAACGGTCTCCAGGATAACAGGCATACCCCGTTTATTCCTACATGGCTCCGTCGAGCTAGACCGGGCCAGCGTGGCGCAACGCATGTCCTGGGCCGCCAACAGAAGCACAAAAAGAAGGGAGGACATTGCATATTGCCTTTTGGGCATCTTCCAGGTAGGCATGCGCATGATCTATGGCGAGGGCTATAAGGCCTTCCACCGACTTCAGGCGGAAATCATAAAGAAGACGAGAGACGATTCTATTCTTGCGTGGGGCTTCAACCCCGAGGGATCATTGCCTACAGGTAGCAAAGCAAGCGATACCCAGTCTGGGGGCGCCTTCGCCACATCCCCCGCAGATTTCGCCAACTGCCGAACTATAGCATCGAGAGAGCTTGACGACACGCCGGAATATACTCTCGAGATATCTGTCGACTATCTCCGGGTACGCCTCTCTCGATTTACGACCCCGACTGGCCAGACATACGGCCTGCTCAACTGCGGTCCTAAGGACCGCCCACAGGATGCTGTGGGAATCCCCCTCGGCAGCACTGACTCTCGAGAGAATTCCAAAGAGCTCATTCGACCGCAAGGTCGCCCCTCGATCCCACTTCGAATGCATGCGTCGCCTACGCCCCCGGCGTACGTCTATGTCCGGATTGGGCGGGAGGACACGGCCATGAATCGACGCCACTGGTTCTATATTGACGATTCCAATGATGATCTTGATCTCTTGGACGTTTACCCCCGCTTTGTCTGGGACGAAGATCACGCCATGATTGCGACGCCTGGCGCTTCCGACGAGACCATCTTCCAGCGATCGCTGACCCGATTTCGTTCAAAGGACGAACAATCTCAAGATGTTATAGTGGTGCTCGACTTCGAGGCACAGGAACCACGGCCATCCGCCCGGTGCCACGTCATGACATGCTGCAGAGATGTCGACTTGCGAAATTTATCCGAGAAACTCGACTCGATGAGGAAGGAAGCTTTCGGAAAGCAGGGGGCCAGCTATGGCAGACTTAAGACATGGGTCACGATCGAGGAAGAATTGGTGGGCAAGAATCAGCCATGGTTTATGGTCCGGCTAGCCACCGTGCCCAGCCTTCCGCAGGCTACTTTCGACGCAAGCACGGAGCTGCAACAATTGGACTTGAGGCTGCAAATGGCGGAAATCTTGCAACAAGAAGACGAACTGCTCCCCGAAATCGAAAAACTCGACGTCGAGCGGCAGACACTGGATACTACTTTGGAATTGAATCGAGAACGCCTCGCCATAGTAGAAGGAGAGATGAAGAAGTTGTGTGAAGAAAGTGAAATGCTGACGTCCGAAGCCGGCAAGGGGGGTCGGAAACTGCAGCAGCTCGCAACCAGTCTAAGGAAAGCCAGGCAGATGCAGGACAGGCTCTCGAACAAGAAAACGGCGATTCGTCGACTCCTCCAGGAGCCTGAAGACGACGGAACGGAAGCCCAGCCTGATTGGAGGCCTGAGAGCACGCATGAAACGGGCAGAACGAACGTCGACTCGTCGCCTCGGCCCTGTCCAAGGGCGCCGACGAGGGGCAGCCAGACACCGCTGGCTTGGGCCGCCGCCAACGGTAACCAGGCCATTGCCCGATTGCTGCTCGAGGACGACTCGGTCGACGTACAGTGCAGAGACGACGAGGGCCGAACGCCGCTGTCGCTGGCTGCAGAGATCGGGCACGAAGCCATGGTGACGATGCTGCTGGACAAGGGCGCTGATCCAAGGACAAAGGATGATGATGGCCGCACGCCGTTGACGGTGGCTGTCGAGAGCAAGAACGAGGCAGTCGTCAGACTGTTGTGCGACCATACGGATGCCATAGTCAGCCCTCCACAGTCGAGCGATGGGCTGAAGGGACAGAGGCTGAGCACGGGAGCCAGCTACACCAATCTAGCTGAACCGCGACGGCCACCGCCTTTGCCGCCGAGAGTAGGTGCCATCTACCCCCTTGCGGGACCATGGTTTAGCGCTCATGAGGGCTGACATGCTTACTTAGTTGTCCACGGACGTCCCGGTCTTTGAGCTACCTGCCAGTCCTAAAGAAGTCAGGAATGACGAGGTAGCGCCTTCCAGCAAATGCAAGCTGAAAGAACGTAGCTCCATGTATGATAGTATGAGCATCGCTTCATCCAGCGTCCGTCCCTCTCTGCACAACAGGCTTTGCCGGGCTAATCTAGAATGCAGAGTTCCAAGCTCCGGATACGCGTGTCTACTTCATCATTAGCGCCTAGTGAAGGTGGGACATGAAAGCCCCCTTGACCCTAGACAAAGCTCCTTGTCCTGACACTGTCTGCATCAGGGTTCGCCCACGATGGTTTTCCCTTCTATAGCCTGACCGACGGTCCACAGCACATGGTGCCTCTGGCAACCAGGTACTGGCACCACCTAACCCTGGACGCCTGGAAGATTTATGAACGCATCTACGACCGCTGCCGCGACCGCCAAGGCCAAGTCCCTTGTAAGTGATTGCACGGGCTCGCAGCGAGCTTGACCAGTTCGACTGACGGAAGCGTGCCTGGCGCCAAGACTCGAGATTCTGCGAGCAGTTCCGCCCCTGGGACGCGCCGACGACCGAGACCGTGGCCAAGACGTGGAGCCGGCTGCTTGACGAGGGGAGCGCCATCGCCGACTCGCGACAGCCCAAGGGTCTCGTCATGGCGACGCTCTACATGCTGCATGTTGAGCGCTTCCGCTCGGACGCCCGGCCCATCGACGACGACCCCGACGGCGGCGTGCCCCCGATGCGGCGCCAGACGCTCCGCGCCTTTGGCGCCTGGCTGCAGTGCCGCTGCAGGGCCGACTGCGACGTCTGGTGGAATTTTGCCAACGACTCGGGCCTGCACCGCGGCGGCCGGCCTCTGGCGTGCGCCCTCGTCAAGTTCACCGACAACGGCAGCAGGCCGAGCCTCTTCGGCTCGGGCAAGAGGGAGGAGCAGTTGCGCAACGAGATGTTTGATGCCTGGGCCCTGGTGCAATAAGACGTAAACGAGTAGCGCTCTCTGTTTTTAGAAGAGAAAACCGCGGTCCCGGACAGCTGAAGCTTTGTCGATAGTCCTTCAGCCGCCTTCCCATCTCGCTATGCCCCTTGGGGCCTCCTCCATCTTCGATTGTCTGTGCCGCCTTATACTCGGTTGCCGCGCCGCCGTCGGCCGCGTCTTCCTCGGTGTCGGCTCCGACTGCTCTGGACCCCGTCACGCCGTCTCCTAAGCGCTCCCGCCCGGCCCAACATCATACGCCTATGAAGAGGGGGCGGTTCATTCGCCGCCTTGCTCGTCTTCGAACACCGCCGGCTCTGCCGCCCACCCCCTCCACCGCCAGCCACTTCTTCGTCTCGACCAGACGGCGTCCCGCCCGAGTGGCGTAAAAATGGTGCTTGTTTAGATGTATTCTTTAGACAATTAATTTCCTCGCTCTCGGTGGCATTTGGGTGAACGCTCTCGTATTTTGACTTCCTTTTACAAGCGCTATAAAGGGTGCTACTAGGCTGGATTCCCTTTAAGTAGAAAGGTCGTCAAGCCTTTCTAGGCAGTTCTTTGTGCAAGCGCCAGTCCATCCGGGCAGCTCCCTCGGACAGAGTGAAGAAGATGCCTCGAGTTCCTGCCGCTGACCTGTTTCCTGCATATGACCCTCGCCCGTTGGCCCCAGGCCGGCGCTGGAGAGGCTTTCAATCTGCCCCCTGGCATTGTCCAAGGTTCGACTTGTGCATCTGAGAACAGGCATGGGGATAAGCGAAGAGAACTTGGCACATCTGTCATACTCGACCACAGACATCCCAGTAATGAATATATATTCATGCTTAAGGGCATATTCATTCTTAAGCTTATGCATAAGGATAAGAATATAGAGGACTAGGCCATCATCACTTCGAAGAAGCCAATTTTCGAAATAACGTGTTAAAATACGTGGTTTCTATATCTTTTAAAGCGTCTTCTCCCGCCTACTATAAAGCACCCATCTTAGCCTCACGCATCCTGTTGCCCGCCGTGCGAGGCGTAGCAAAGATGCAGCCGGAAGGCGGCCAAGCCGCCCCCTTAAAAGGCACAGAAGAGTCTTCCCTGCTTACTCAGATACGGTGGGCGATAGGGGTCACTATTGCAAAACTCCCTGTTATTTTCTTTTAGGTTTAGGCGCTCAGCCCCCTAGGTATCCGGATACTTCAGGTTAGCATAAGAGTATATACTGCGGACTAGCAGCGGGCCCGCACGGTCATCCTTCTGCCAGTCTAATTGCCAGTTTACCGCACTAGTCGTAAAATAGTATCCGGCTCGCAAACTACTTATATACGTATAGATACGTATAATACTATACCTAAAATTCGTTCTTAAAAAGCTAATTAATATTTTTCTAAGTAAAATCAAGCGAGCGGCGCGGTATTTTTACTAAATAACTATACTTTAGTATTATCGCGGCCTAAAGATAGCGATAATACTAAAGATAAAGATAGCGAATATTACTAAGTCCCCTCCCTTAGATAGCGCTAGGAACTTATAAAAGCCGGACCCTTATAGATAAAGAATATAAGTATATACGAGAGTTTAAGGTCTTTTACTATATAGTGCTAAGTTAAAACTTTAGACTTTAATATTTCTACTTTCTCTCCTAGCTACTATAGCTATATTTAGTTTTTATCCTAATATTTATAGGAGTAATTAAGATAAGGAGCGGCGCTATAAGGTAGTAGAGGATTACTATAGTAATCCCGCTACTAGTTAGCACCGGACTAGCGTTAAAGTCTCTTACTAAGCTTAGCGATCTTTATTTACTATAGTAAGGGGATATTATTCTATAACTATTCTCTTTATATTAAAATCCTATTTCTAAGTCCGATTCTATTTATCCTCCTTTTCCTTTTATCCTACCTCTTCTCCTTAACCGAAATAGGCCCTCTATAGATTCTCCCTAAGTATATCTACTACGTTTAAGCCGGATAGAAGTTCTATAACCTCTTTATTACTATATACGTTAGCGGGAACTATTATAGCGGTTGCGGCTTAGCTAACCCCTTTCGGCCGCAGCGTTAGGCTAGGTCTAAAACTCCGGCACTTCCTAGCCTATATAATAAGGTAGTCGAGGTCGAGGACTCTCCGCTACGGCTAGTTAGTCTAGTAAGTTAGCTACTACGTAATAGACTAAAACGAGTATTATCTATCGGCGTTAGACACGCGGCTTAACTACTCCCTAATAAAGCTACTAGTACCGGTGCGCTAAATATATAGGTATATATACCTCTCTTTAAGGCTGTAAGAAGGTATGAGCAATAAGCGCAGAATCGGGTAATCGATAACGTAAGCGGAAAGATCGGTCGAAGGAGTATAGGGTAGGATTTCGTCCGGAGTTTATAACGAGCATATAAGGGGCTGAATAATATATTGAAAGAATAGCGTTGCAAAGGATGCTTGCAAACTTGCTTGTCCTATCTACTACTCCTAGGGAAATCCTTCGTCTTTTATAGACCATTGCTCGCCCACTAGTAGACCAATTAGTTAGCTTTTTAGCACATTCTATAGTGCTTAAAAAGCTCTATCTACAGTATATCTTCCTAACTTAGTAGGTGGTCTGATTGTGGCGTGATGGTTGACGTAAGACTATGGGTTCTAGCATGAGTAGTGGATTTAACCAGAATGTTCTATGCCCTACCTATTCTCGTATCGCGGATATCTTCGGAACCGCTAGGCCAAAATAGGCAATAGGGTATCCGTTCTGCTCGTAATTGACCTATGCATTTTATGCATATTTTTGTTTGTAAGGATAGGCTTATCCTGACCCGCTTTTCCTAGAGGAAGGTATAGATGTCTAGTAGAGGTCTTTGTCTTTTAAGGGTTATTCCCTTAGACTATATTATAGAGCCTCTTTTTACTAGCTTATTCTATAAAGCCTCCCTATGCCTATTATTTCTTTATAACAGTAAAATAGGAATATAAGGGTATATTCTTATAAAGGCGTTAAGTAATCCTTAGTTTATAACTATCGTATTAACGGCTAGTCGAGCTATTTAAAACTCTAAAGGCAGTACTAGGAAGCCTACGAGGCAACGAACTAGCTACTAGTAGGTCTATATCTCGCGAAGAGAGATATAAGAAGTATATATAAAAATATATAAAGATAAAATTAAAAGTAAGGGGTCGGATAGGCAGGGCAAAGATATTTAATTCTTATAGGGGCAGTATTTACGGTAGGGGAGTAATTATTATATTACCTTAATTCTCCTTCTTTCCTCTATCTAACGCCCCTCTTTATACCTATCTAGCATCTTAATTAATAAAGAAGATCCTACCTAAAGAAGCTACTTATATCCTCTTAACTACCGAGCTTTTTACTAAGTTTTCCCTTTTTTTCTAGCTATTACCGGTATATCCGTCTTATCTCTCGCTACCTCTATAGGAAGCTTTCGCTACTTCTACTTTCCCTTATACCCCTACCCTCCTCTCTATACCTCTTTTTAGCTCTTTATTTTAAACCGGTCTTTTTAGCTTCCTAGGTCCCTCTTACTAAGGGATATCTCTAAGAACTACGAAATTAGGCTACGCTTTACGATATACCCCCTTAGCTATAGCCTGCCCTTATAGAAAGGGTAAAGCTAAATAATTAGGCCGGTAAGCGTATAAAGGAGGTTATAGTCTATACTTATCCCTTACTTAAGAAATCCGGATTTTAGCCCTAGGCCCTTTTAGACCTACTTTAGGAAAAGGGGCCTAAGGAGGAATTAAGTCCTATAAGAAAGGGGGTCTTCCTTTTTTAAGAAGGAAAAGTCTTAATTAAGCTAGGGGCCCTCCTTTAAGATAAGTCCTAGTTCCTCTCTTTAGCTATAGACGTCTTCTTTCTTATATATGCCTTTAGCTCCTCTTATAGACTCTTAAAGCGGGCTTCTAAAGATAGCTTCTCTTAAATATCTTCTAGCTTAATTTACTATAAAAAGATAGCTAGCTTCTACTTTAGTAAGGGCTTTATAAGACTATTAGCTTTTATTAATACTATTAGAACCTAATAAATAGAAATAAGTCCCCTTTAGACCTCTTAGCGTAACTAATACTAATAGATATCGATATACTATAGCTAGGTTAATAGATTTACGTTTTCTATTAGAATTTATAAAGTCTATATATTATCGCATTCTATAGATAGTAGGGTCGGACTTTATAGTTATAGAGATATTAGTAGCTAGCTAAGGAATATCGCTTCTTTTAACGCTTTTAAAAGAGCTAGTAGCTCTACCTCTATACTTAAAGTTATAACGGTAGCTTACTTTAAAGCTCTCTAAGTAATAGTTCCTATAAAAAGGGATATAATATACCCCTATAAGCTCTTTCTATCTAAGGAATTATCTATAAAGGATAAATAGCTCGAATAAAGGAAGATTTCGATAGCTATTTTCCTTCCTTACCCTCTTAGGCATAGACTATATAATCTCGTTAAATAGAGATAAAGGATAGCTCGGTCTACTACTTCTTAGTGCCTAGGGCTAGGATTCTAGTTATACCTAGCTAGCTAGGAGACCGTAAAAGATTTATCCGGTCTAATAGAAATAGCTAAAAAAAGCAGGGAGCCTACCTTCTATTAGTATAGGTGTTTTTCTTACTCCCTAGCTTAAAAGGACGGATTAGGTAAAAGCTCTTTATCTAATATAGGCGTAGAGGGAAGCTTCTTTTCGAGGGAATTAAGGAGGAATTTATAAGCGACCTTATTAATATAAGCGTCTTAGGTAAGCTAGATAGTCCGTTAGGACCTATTCTAAAGGATTCGAATCCCTAGGAACCACTTTAGCTCCCTTAGCCTAGTTATCTTATACCTTTATTATAGGCCTTTTATAGCCTCCCTAGTACTTGCTTCTTCCTCTTTTAGGTAGGCCTAGATAATATCGTCGACGTAGAAGAAGACCGTGATTTTACCCTTCTATATTATATACGGTTCCTAAGGGACTTTCTTAAAGCCTAGGGCTTCGAGGGAACCTATTAAACGCTATTGCTAAAGAAGGGGCGAT